AAAAAAAAAAAAAATAATAAGAGGCTCAGAAAAGATTTTAGAATTCTAGGAAAAAAGCCCTCAAACCAGAGGCAGTTGTTTAAAGATTGCAGCTACCTGAGGCAGTAGATAACAGCTGGGGCAAAGAAAAAGCTGGGGAATAAAATTCTATAATGGCTCTGCAAGCTGTAATATTTCTGAGAATCTAGACAGTCAAATGTGTGCCCGGGGCTTCACGTGTGTGCCTAGGGCTACCTGTGCTCAGGAAAGACTGAGGAGCTAGGAGCTCTCAGAGGTTCTGTGCAAGCAGCAAATGGAGGCCAAGGTAAAATTACAAATTGCTTAGGTGAATGTTAAAGGTGTGAGCTCCAGCAGGTACACAGAGCAAAGATTGGAGCACTTACTGCCTTGGGCACGTAGAGAAGTCTCTTTATTGAGTCATTAGCTGACTGCTAAGTTAATGAGCAGAGACTTTAGTGGTCACATAAACAGAAGTGACTTTCATAGATTGGTTCATAAAAGTCCCTAAACATCAACAGCAACAAGAGCAAACCCTGGGGAAGGGAGAGAACCTGATTTCTAGAGTTGCCACATTATTTGTAGTTTTCAACAAAAGAAAAAATCACAAGACATGCAAAGAAACAAAAAAAAAAAAAGAAAATTTTGAGGTATCCACTAAAAAATTATTGGAACTAATAAGCAAGTTCAGCAAGCTAGTAGGCTACAACATCAATACATAAAAATCAATTGTATTTTATAGATTTTTATTATTATTATTTTTTTAGAGACAGAGTCTCACTTTGTCACCCTTGGTAGAATGCCGTGGCGTCACAGCTCATAGCAACCTCTAGCTCTTGGGTTTAGGCGATTCCCTTGCCTCAGCTTCCCAAGTAGCTGGGACTATAGGCGTCTGCCATAATGCCCGGCTATTTTTTTTGTTGCAGTTTGGCTGGGGCCTGGTTTGAACCCACCACCCTTGGTATATGGGACCGGCGCCCTACTCACTGAGCCACAGGCGCCACCCTATAGATTTATTTTTTAAAAAGAGTTGAGATCTTACTCTGTTGTCCAGCCAAGGGTGCAGTGGCCTGATCATAGTGTACTGTAGCTTCCAACTCTTGGGCTCAGGTGATCCTCCCTCCTTAGCCTCCTGAATAGCTGGGACTATAGGCACACACCATGGCACCGTGCTATTGTTTTTATTTTTATTTATTTATTTTTTGAGACAAAGTCTCACTGTGTCATCTTTGATAGAGTACCATCGTGTTACAGCTCATAGCAACCTCAGACTCCTGGGCTTAAACGATTCTCTTGCCTCAGTCTCCCAAGTAGCTGGGACTACAGGTGCCTGCCATAATGCCGGCTATTTTTTGGTTGTACTTGTCATTGTTGTTTAGCAGGCCCAGGCTGGGCTTGACCCCACCATCTTCGGTGTATGTGGCTTGAGCCCTACTCACCGAGCTCCAGGCGTTGAGCCTATTTTTATTTTTTTGTATGAGATTGAATGTAAGAGGCACGAGGGATGTTTCGAAAGGTTCTCTACCTCGATTGGAGTGTTGGGCACTCAAATGTATACATTTGTCAAGACTTACTGAACTGCACACTTAAAATCTGTAGATTATCCTTCAATAAAGTTGATTTGTTTTTTTTCCAAAAAGAGACCCAACAGTCCAGGTTCCTCTGAATTGGCAGGCATCCTACATTATATGGGCTGCCAAGATCCCAAATTTTGTACAATAAGAATACAGTAAGAAGCTGCATTCTGTAATTCAGAGTAAAAGCAATTTGGGACAGTATTCAAACCATGCATCTTAATCATTCTCTAGTGTGGATAGACACTGTGGTCAGATCTAGCCCAACAGTGAAGGCAACGTTGACCGTAGTTGCCCATTTGACCATTTCAAGGGGGACCCTTGGATTGGATCAAACTTCTTGACAGATATTAACAGCTGTCCCTTGACAGACTGGATTGGAGAACAATGGCCAAGAATAATCAGCCACTATCTCCCTGAAAGGGTAGATTTAATTCACCAGAAAAAGATCTGTGTTAGCCCTCATAGAAAAGATGAGAGGGATGGTTGGTGCTGTATTTTAGAGCAAGAATCAGCTCATTTGACCTACAGGCCAAATCTAGTCTGTAGCCTGTTTCTGTACAGGAACGTTTTTTACGTTTTTTCTTTTTTTTTTTTTAAGAGACAGGTTCTGTTCTGCTGCCCAAGCTAGAGTACAGTGGCGCTTCCATAGCTCATCATAACCTTGAAATCCTGGACTCAAGTGATCCTCCCACCTCAGCCCTCCAAGTGATGAGATTACAGGTTACCCTGGGCACAGGCTACCATGACAGGGTCTTGCTGTGTTGCCCAGGCTGGTCTCAAGCATTCCTCCCACCTCAGCCTCCTAAAGTGATGGATTACAGGCATGAGCCACCACAGATGGCCCCATCTGTCACATTTTAAAAAATGTTATAAGCAAAACTAGACAGTACGCTACAGAGACCATGCATGGTCTACAAAGCCTAAAATACTGTCTGGCCGGTTAGAGAAAATGTTTGATTCCTAGTAATCCACAATCCTGAGGGTAAGAGCAGGGGTTTGTGGTGTATCCCCAAAGAAAAGAAATCTAGGCTCGGCGCCTATAGCTCAACCGGCTAAGGCGCCAGCCACGTACACCTAAGGTGGCGGGTTCAAATCCCCAGCCCGGACCCGCCAAAACAACAATGATGGCTACAACCAAAAAATAGCCGGGCGTTGTGGCGGGCGCCTGTGGTCCCGGCTACTTGGGAGGCTGAGGCAGGAGACTCGCTTGAGCCCAGGAGTTGGAGATTGCTGTGAGCTGTAATGCCACGGCACTCTGCTCAGGGGGACAGCTTGAGGCTCTGCCTCAAAAAAAAAAAAAGAAATCTAAATTCTATTTCTGCCAGATTGAGTAGACTGATGGTAGTTTTCTCTCATGGATTATAATTGTGCAAAAAACAGAACCTCTGATAAATTCTTGCCCTGGGTTTTTCCAGGGTATTATCCAATATTCCAGCCATATCAGAGAAGTTGATATTTCCTGTAGGCTACTTGTCTGCCCAGGTGCCAGTTCTCCAGAGAATGCCTTTGCTCATTTACCTGGGGGAAGCTCCTGCTGGTGTAAGGGAGCCGTGTCAGTCACTCCCTCTCAGTGTTTGATGGCACTCAGTTCAGACCTCCAGAGTGACGACTTATGACACATCTATTACACTCGGCTCTTCACTCCTCTGTTCCCTCAGCCCCTCTGTACACCATGCTCCTTAAGTACAAGAACTGGATTTTAAATTCCCAGTGAAATTGCTACTGAACCTGACACCTACGATGTGCTTTGTAAGTGTTTATTGAACTGAATCTGGCTGCTAGCATCCCTTGACACAGAAGCACGGGGCAGAGAGACCAGAGAGGGTAATTCAGAGCAGGCTGGGGCCATAGAAGAAGAAGTCAGGTCCCTAGAGCTGATGTATCTGAATTGTATTTTTAGCGAACTGAACAAAGGGATCTGAGGAAAGCAAAGTTGAAAGAGAAGAAGGAGCAGAGTCAGAATGAGGCTTTACTCCAGGCCGTCAAGGTGAGTTCTCAAACTGAGGTTCTTGGTGTCCTGCTAAATCCACTGATTCTGTTAGGCTGTGGGACACCTCTCTCGGGATCCTTCACCTGACTGAATGTGTTTGTTTTCTTTGTGCTTTTCTGAAGCAGTGACAGAGGAGCCCAGGCTCTAGTCCGCTGTCCCACTATGTGCACGTGTGGGTCTCTGTACCGTGCACAATAGTCTCCTGTGTCCAAGGGAGCTGCTTCCCAAGACTCCCAGCGGATGCCTGAAATCTCCCATAGTTCCAAACCCAGTTGCTGTCAAACACAGCGTGTTTCTGTTCATGTCTTCCACCCACAGGTTTAATGCATTTTCCTTCTTAACTAAGCACTCACCATGCACTGTAGAGATTCAACAGCAAAACTAGCATGAGTTTCTTTTTCCTGCTTCACAGTTTCATGGATAGAAGATTCATTCTTACCATACATCTTAGCAACCTTAGCATGTGATTTTTTTTCTTATTTGTTGAGAACTTTCACTTTTTCACTTAGAGCAAGCACTGTAAGGTTTTTGTCTGGCATTTTCAAATTGCCCACATCATTGCTATTGTGTTTTCGGGTCATGATTTAAAATAAAGGCTGCTTGAACACAAGCACTGTGATACTGCAGTAGTCAATCCGATAACCGAGATGGCTACTGAGTGACTAATGGGTGGTTACTTAGTATCAGTGTCTACAATTCTGATATGCTGGGGAATAGCTGATTCAGAATCTGAGTGGGATGGAGCAGATAACATGAGATTTCATCATGCTACTCAGATGCATTTTAAAACTTATTGTTTACTTCTGAAACGTTCCATTTGCTATTTCAGACTGTGGTAACTGGAACTGGAAAGTGAAAGCGTGGCTGAGGGGGGACTGCTGTACTGACTTTTTGCTCTGGGTTAAGCGTTACCTCATTTAATCTTCTGTTGGGGTCTCCTTGCTCCTGTTTTGCTAGATGATGAATAGAGGGGCGAGGAAACCTCACACAGCTGATGTGTGTTAGAGCCAAGTCCTTGTTCTTAATGGGTGTGTTATAATGTATCTTGAGACCAGCCTGAGCTAGAGCAAGACTCTGTCTCTAAAAACAGCCGGGCATTGTGGCAGGCGTCTAGAGTCCCAGCTACTTGGAGGCTGAGGCAGGAGGATCGCTTGAGCCCAGGAGTTTGAGGTTTCTATGAGCTACGATGCCACAGCACTCTACTTAGGGTGACAAAGTGAGACTCTGTCTCAAAAGAAAAAAAAAACCCAAAAACAAAAACATGAGCGTGACAACATCTCTACAGAAAATGTTTTTTTTTTTAAATTTATTAGCCATTTAATTAGGTTCTTTTTAAGAAATTTAAAACACCATTTAATGAGGGTAAGCTCCATTTGTCAGGGCAAACACGTATCGCAGGTAGCCTTGGAGCTGAGGAATAGCCTTGATTTTCGGTAAAATTTGTGAGTCCACAGCTTTTTGATCAACCTTGCGCTGTTCTCTTATCTCGTATTTCTCTTTTTCTGTGGTGAAGAGCTCACCTTCTTGGTGTCTGGGCTTCCGGAGCTGCTTGAAATAAGCATCAGTAAGATGCTTTGGGATTTTAACATTACTGATGTCAATTTTTGTGGTGGTGGCGATGACAAATTTCTGGTGTGCCCTTCGTAAAGGAACTCGATTGAGGGACAGAGGTCCAGTCACAAGTAGCAAGCCACTGCCCAGTTATTTTAGGAAAACCACTGTCTTGCCTCTGTGGCGCCCAGTGAGGATAATTAGAACGGTCCCGGTGTGATGCTGGATCGCAGTTTTCTCACATGCTGACTGAATGGTTTTTTGCCCTGGCTCAATCTTGCAGGCACATCTTCCGTGGGATAGTATCTAGGCATTTTGCGAAGTTTAACCACCCGAGTACCACCATTCTTGTCCCCAGCTGGTTTTGTAACAGTGGCGAGGACCTTCGCCGCCGCCTTCTTGTCAATCTTGGATTTAGCTGCTGTGTATTTCCTCTTGCCTTTCTGGAATACATGGCGGATCGGGAATATCTGCCTAGTCCTCTGATGAGAACAGGATTTCGGCTGCAGTGGGGCTTCCCTTTCTTGGGCTTAGGCTTCTTTTTATTAACAGGTTTCTTCTCTTTAGAAACTGGTTTCTTCTCTTTAGAAACCGGCTTCTCAACTTATTCACCCACCATTTTGCAAGGTGGGAAAGAGAACTAAAGTCTCCGTTTCCGGTTTATCCAGAAAATGTTTTAAAAATTACCTACACATGGTGGCACACACCTGTCTGTAGTCCCAGCTACTCCAGAGTCTGAAGCGGGGAGGATTGCTTGAGCCCAGGAGTTTTTATAGTGGGTTATGTTCAGGCCACTGCATTCCAGTCTTGGGAAAAAGTTTGCTAAGTCCTGATTTAGAAGGTAGTGTTGGTAACATGTAATTTCCTCTCGTGCGCTAACCTTAGGAACCCTCACAGATATGTAAGAGGTGACACTACTTACTATTCAGACCCTTGATTTACCCTCATTTCTATGAGACAGTCAGGATTAAGTCAGTGTACATTCTTTCTAGTGTTCTAATATTTCATCCCCAGCTAAACTGAAACATTGGACATTTTTGTGCCACAGGTCACACCCTTAATCTTTTCTGTGCTTTTACATGTGCTGTTCCTTGGAGTGTAATGCTCAACCTCCCAGATGTCCCACCTCCAACTTCTGTGCCTTTCAAAGTCATTGTTCACGGCCTAGCATTTCTCAGTCACCTCCATCCCCAGGCTGAATTCGTTATTCCGTTGCCTGCGTTTCCACAGCCCCACTTCTCACCTTCCCTTATAGCTATTTCCATAGCTGTCTCCTACTAGACTACGAGCAGGAGCGTGAGCTCCGGGAGCCCTGTCTAGCTCATCTCTGTGACACAGGGTTCAGCACGTGGTAGATGCCGTGTGAAGGTGAGTTACACAAGTGGTGCCTACCGTGTGCTGGGCCGCAGTGATAATGAAGATGAATCTTGTATAGAGCTGGCCTTCAGGGAGCTAACACTGTTATGGTTTCTTTATTGTTCAGCGAAATGGGTTTCCATCCTCCACACTTAAGGTTTTGTGTTTGTGTGTTCCTCCCTTCAACCCAGGCTAGGAACATCAGGCTCTCTGAAGCCGCCTGTGAGGATGAAGATTCAGCCTCAGGAGGTCTAGCTGAGCTTTTCTTGGATGGACTCAGCTCTGAAAACCCCTATGGAGCTAGGCTAAGTCTAGATGACCAGGGCAGGCTGAGCTGGCCCGTGCTCTTCCTGTACCCGGAGCACGCCCAGTCAGACTTCATCTCTGCTTTTCACGAGGACTCCAGGTACTTACTGCTGAGAGCCTTCTGCTCCTGCTTGCTCTCTCCTTTTTGGAAGGAGGGCCGGGAGGATTTTTGGTTGAGGAGGGAAGAGATAGTTTAGAGGGTTTCACACAATCTTGTTTACTACATCCTGTAGCCGACTCAGCCTTTACTAACTAGATTTGCATTGACAGACACAAGTGTCAACTTCATCCTGGCTAGGTTAATGGTACCACAATCTAGTGTTTATCAAAGAGTGGCATACATCACCAGCAAACTATGAAATCGTTTTAGGTAGTACATGCATAGTAATTTAAGTACATATGAGAAGAATATAACTAGCAAATTTAATTTGTAATTTCATAGGGTTGGTGCTTAGAATGTGGCTGAATGTAAGAAATGTTTTGAGCCTGGGTTCACTTAAAGAAAATTATGTCCTCGTAGGACAAGCGATAGATACCCTTTGGGCACTGCTGTGGAAATGGGTTAAGCTTGCATTTCATGTGTTACCCATTCTTAATGCCTCTTGTGAATTGGCATCTGGAGACAGATATGGGGAAATAGATCATGAATTATTGATACTCAGAAAGTATATGTTGTATCCTTAGGTTTATTGATCATCTAATGGTGATGTTTGGTGAAACACCCTCCTGGGACTTAGAGCAGAAGTACTGCCCTAATGATTTGGAGGTAAGAGAAGTTTTCTTCTGTTCCTCCATGGGATATTTTTTGGAGGGCAGGTTGGGGGGATTGAATGCTCAATTTTTTTTTTAATTGTGGCAAAATATGTATGACATAAAATTTATCATTTTAACCATTTTTAGATGCTCAGTGATTTACACTGCTGGTGACCGTCACCATCAACCATCTCCAAAACGTTTTCATCGTCCCAAACTGAAACTCCGTCCTCATTAAACTGTAACTCCCCTGCCTCCCCTCGTGGCACCTGCCACTCCACGACACCCACTGTTCTGCCTTGTCGAGTGCCTCACAGGAGTAGAGTCCCGCACTGCGCCCTGTGTGGCGTATTTCACTCTGCACAGTGTCTTCAGGGTTCATAGGGATTGCAGCATGTGCCAGCATTTCTTTCCTTTTTGAGGATGAATAGTATTTTCTTGGGACTTTTTTTTTTTTAAATCACAGTTTACAGCGTAAAGAATTTAGCCTCTGGCTCAGCACCCATAGCACAGTGGTTACGGTGCCAGCCACGTACACTGAGGCTGGCAAGTTCAAACCCAGCCTGGGCCAGCTAAACAACAATGACAACAAAAAAATAGCTGGGCGTTGTGGTGGGCACCTGTAGTCCCAGCTACTTGGGAGGCTGAGGCAAGAGAATCACCTGAGCCTAAGAGTTTGAGGTTGCTGTGAGCTGTGACACCACAGCACTCTACTGAGGGTGACATAGTGAGACTCTGTCTCAAAAAAAAAGAAAAATTTATCCTTTAATCACTTGAGAGTAAAGTGACACCTGATGTCCCCCATTGCCCCTGAATACTTCAGTGTATTTCTCACTTTTGTCCTATATAAGATATTTTTCTTCATAATCCCAGTACAGCCATCAAAGTCAGGGAATTAGCATTGATGTAGTACAAGCTACTCCACACTCCGTTTAGGTTTCCCCCATTTTTTTTTTTCTAGCGACAGTCTCACTGTATTGCCCTCAGTAGAGTGCCGTGGCATCACAGCAACCTCCAGGTCCTGGGCTTAGGCGATTCTCTTGCCTTAGCCTCCCAAGTAGCTGGGACTAAAGGCGCCCGCCACACCACCCGGCTATTTTTTTTTTAAATATGGAACGCTTCATGAATTTGCGTGTCATCCTTGCACAGGGGCCATGCTAATTAATCTCTGTATCGTTCCAATTTTAGCATATGTGCTGCCGAAGCGAGCACCGCCCGGCGATTTTTTTGTTGCAGTTTGTCTGGGGCCAGGTTTGAACCTGTCACCCTTGGTATATGGGGCCAGTGCCCCACTCACTGAGCCACAGGAGCCGCCCAGGTTTCCCAAATTCTCTATGGCCAAAGGATCTTGTTCAGAATCTCGTGTTGTATTTAGTGATCTTGTCCCTCTAGTTTCCTTGAGCGTGGAAGAGTTCCTCCATCTTTCCTTGACTTCCCTGACCTTAACACCTTTGAAGATTACAGACCACTTTGTAGAATGTCTGTCGTGGGTTTGCCTCATGTTTCCTTGTGGATTATGGGTGTTTAGCTGGAGTATCAGGGAAGGGATACTGTGATTGTATCGTATCCAGTGGTGTTTGTCCCATACTGATAATATCCATTCTAACCATCTGACTGAGGTGGGTTCTTCCAGTCTTCTCTCTTACGAGTTATGCATTCTCCTTTATGATTAATACTTTTTTTTTTTTTTTTGAGACAGAATCTCAATAGGTTGCCCTTTGTAGAGTGCCGTAGCATCACAGCTCACAGCAACCTCAAACTCTTGGGCTTAAGCGATTCTAAAGCCTCCCAAGTACCTGGGATTACAGGTGCTTCTCACAACACTGGCTATGTTTTTGTTGTTGTCATTGTTGTTTAGCAGGCCTGGGCCAGGTTCAAACCTTCCAGCTCTGGTGTATGTGGCAGGTGCCCTAACCACTAAGCTATAGGCGCCGAGCCGAGTAATAAGTATTTTATAAGGAAGTACTTGGAAATGATGTAGATATCCCATTGCTTATCAGCAATTGCTGATAATTGCATAATCCCGTGGCTTATGTATTTATTTATATCAGTGGGTTTATGGCTTCCTATTTCACTCAATGTATATAACCTATTACAATGATTATTTTATGCTCAAGTCATCCCAGATTTGGTCAGCAGGAATCCTTTTTCAAATTTGTTTTGTGTCCTTTTGACTTTTCTCTATTTCTTTCTTTCTTTCTTTCTTTTTTTAGAGCTAGAGTCTCACTTTATTGCCCTCAGTAGAGTGCCGTGGCGTCACACTGCTCGCAGCAACCTCCAACTCCTGGGCTCAGGTGATTCTCTTGCCTCAGCCTCCCGATTAGCTGGGACTACAGGTGCCTGCCACAATACCCAGCTATTTTTTGTTTCTGTTTGGTGGGGCTGGGTTTGAACCCACCACCCTCAGTATATGGACCCTGTGCCCCATCCACTGAGCCACAGGCGCCGCCCCTTTCTCTATTTCTTAAGCGCTTGTTTTTCGGCACAATGTGTTCCAGGTTTAAATTGTGCTTTCCTTGCCCCAGTTCTAGAATCAACTATTGTTTCCAAGGAGCCCTGGTTCTTTTTTTTTTTTTTTGGAAACAGTCTTACTTTGTCACCCTCAGTAGAGTGCTGTGGCATCATAGCTAACAGCAACCTCAAACTCTTGGGCCTCAGTCTCCCAAGTAGTGGGAACTACAGGTACCCACCACAACACCTGGCTATTTTTTGGTTGCAGTTGTTCAGCTGGCCTGGGCAGGGTTCAAAGTTGCCAGCCTTGGTGTATGTGGCTGGTGCTGTAACCACTGAACTACGGTGCTGAGCCTTCTTTTTTTTTGGACAAGACTTTCTCTGTTGCCCAGCCTGGAGTGCAGTGGTACAATTGTAGTTCACTGCAACCTCTTAACTCCTGGGCTTACGCAGTCCTCCTGCTTTAGCCTCCTAAGTAGCTAAGAATGCAGATGCACACCACCGTCCCTGCCTAATTTTTTTTTTTTTTTTGGAGACAGAGTCTCACTATGTTGCCCTCAGTAGAATAATGTGGCATCATAACTCACAGCAACCTCAAACTCTTGCGCTTAGGCTTGACACCTGTAGCTTAAGCAGCTAGGGCGCCAGCCACATACACTGGAGCTGATGGGTTCAAATCCAGCCCGGGCCTGCCAAACAACAATGACAACTACAACCAGAAAATAGCCGGATGTTGTGGCAGGGCCTATAGTCCCAGCTACTTGGGAGGCCAAGGCAAGAGAATTGCTTCAACCCAAGAGTTTGAGGTTGCTGTGAGCTATGACTCCACAGCACTCTACCCAGGGCAACAGCTCAAGACTGTCTAAAAAAAAAAAACTCCTGAGCTTAAGCAATTCTTTTGCCTCAGCCTCCCAAGTAGCTGGGACTATAGGCACCCATCACAATGCCTGGCTAGTATTTTGTTGTTGTGGTTGTCGTTGTTTAGCTGGCCTGGGCTGGGTTTAAACCTGCCAGTACATGTGGCTGGCACTGTAACCACTGAGCTACAGACACCAAGCCTGCTGGCTAATTTTTAAAAATATTTATAGAGATGGAGTCTTGCTACATTGCCCTGGCTGGTGTAAAACTCTTGGCCTTAAACGATCCTCCTGCCTTGGCCTCCCAGTGTGAGCCACTGTACCCTCTCCTCTGGTTCTTTATTGTGAATAATGGTATTTAGAAGCCAAGATCTCTGTGCAGCAGGTGTGTTGATTGATGCTAAGGAAGTTGGGGCAGTCTAACTGCCTCAGTGCCTTCTTAGTGCCTCCCAGCTAGGAGTGTGTGTGTGTGTGTGTAAGAACACAAGGTCTCACTGGTATCTTCAGTTCTAATCCAACACCACAAATTTGTCTACTCCTGTCCTACTTTTGTAACAGGGGCCTTGTTATTAATGTATTTATTTGTTTGATCTTTCCCCTCCTCCCATTGCCATTGGCCCCTTTTCTACATGGAACCTTCCCCACTCGGACTCTGAACTCCCCAGGTCTGGCTGCTGTCACAGAGCACGTGCCTGACTCACCCTGCACAGACTGACCTGAGCTGCTCGGTCACTCTGCGTGAGCAGCCGCCTCCTAATCCTGCGTGGAGTCTGACTGCCTGCAGCAGCCACTCCCCGCTGAGTAGTATCTTCCTCACCCTAGCTGGTAATGGTGAGCCTGGGTTCTGCCTTTGGAAAATGGAGCTGATGATCTTTCTTACAGTGTTATGAGAGGACCGACTGCAAAGCGCCAGCCCTCCAACTACGTAAAGGAAGCATTCAACTAGGAATCGTCGCTGTCTCTAACTTTCCCTAGGCTTGCCTTCAACGTGCTTAGTGCTGCTGAAGCCTTTATTCGTCTCTGACCTTGCCCCTCTGTTCACCTTTCAGGTCTACTTTGAGGATGAGGACAGGGCAGAACTCTACCGGGTACCTCCCAGGAGCACCCTGCTGCGGGCACTGCAGCACCCCAGGTGCGTCACCTTAGGGGCTGTGTATTCTGGGCAGGATGCTCAGCCACAGTCCCAGGGTATAGCCACATCTCTGATGAATTGCCTCATACTCCCCTCCCTCCCTGGGCATAAAGCTGTATGAGACAACAGCTGTGGAGACTGGCCTGGCCTGTTAAACTGAACCGTTGTCCAGAAAAGTCACGGTGTGATGACCCCCTAGGCTGGGGGAATGCATGGGGCTGGGCTGAGTAGGGAGAAGCTGCCTGGCCTTTGTGTTGAAAGCAGGAGGGATGGCCTCCTTTTCCTAATTGTGCATGTGTCTCCTGATACTGTCATATGACAAGCGCATTGGCTCTGTGAAGACGCACCGTCATTTACTGGCTGTGTGAGTTTAAGTGCACACTGCCTCCCGGGGCTGTCTCCTCATCTCCAGAGTGGGAATAACTCTTGCCTACGTATTTCTCAGGCATTTGGGAGCCAGTGAGAGAGCAGAGTCAGAGTAAGGGCCTGCCCACCAGAGAGGGCGTTTTTCTCCTCAGCAGTGGCAGCAGTTGCCCCTCCGCCACGTGGAGGTGTTCCTGGACCGTGAGGGAAACTAGTACCCTCAGCAGATTTCCAGGTTGACTTGTGGACAACCTTTCCCTAAGCTTTGAGCATTGTAAAGAAGAGAAAAGCAAATGCTTTTGCACTTAGGCTAAAAAAGCCTGACATATACAGAAAAGAAGATGGCTGGAAATGGTAGGAAATGAGGCCAGAAAGCTAAGTTAGGGCCGTGCACAGAGGCCTAAGACCCTTCTGAGAAGTACAAACCATCCTGATAGTGGTGTGGGGGTCACAGAAGAGTTGATGTAGGTAGGACGTGCAAGGTGAGGTGCAGATTTCAAGTATACTGTTCTGTGGTGAGGCCTGAAGTAGAGGAGATGGGTTAGAGAGGTTTGGGGGACAGACTGGATGGGCACTGGTTTGTTAGGGTACTCAGCTGGCATTAATTTTTCTGCTTTGGCCTGATAGACAGGAAGGGAAGATTTCTCCAGATATGACTGATAATTAAAAAAAGAGAAAGAGATGGGGTTTTGTTGTATTGGCCAGGCTGGTCTTGCATTCCTGGCCTCAAGCAGTCCTCCCACCTTGGCCTCTCAAAGTGCCAGGATTGCAGGAGTGAGGCCAATATGCCCAGCGGAAATGATTACTTTTTCAATTACTACCATTGGCAAGAGGCTACTGGTTTCTGGCAACTTCAGATCCTGAACTAGGTGAAGCTAGAACCAGGCACATTGGGTAATGCTGACACCCTGAACCCTGGAAGGCCAAGGCCCTGTCCGCCTCTCCAACCAACCTCCCTCCTTTTATTTTTATGGCCCAGCAATAGCAGATGCTCTGGTTACCTGTATCTCCTGGCTTTTTGCTCCCCTACTCCCATCAGCACCCCTTCCCCAAACTAAAGCCAAGCTCAGACATGGCATCTTCCATGAAGTTTTCCCGGGTCCCCTTCCCTGTAGAGGGAATCATGCCTCCTGGGACTAGGACTGTGCCTTGCCAGTGCTTCTGCAGTTGTGCCTTCCTGTCATTAATTGGATCCTTACTTCCCTCTCCCCAGGACTGAACTTCAGCAACTTTTTGTTTATTTTGTTTTTCTTCAGAATTATATCCATTATTTGTTTTTAAAAGTCTCCGTGTTTTCAGCATAGGGACTGGCTTACCATGGGCACTCACTGAATGTTGAATGAATGAATGAAGGCATTCCGTGTTTCATGTGTTTAACCACAGACATGCCTGATGCTGGAGGACTGGCCAGAAGGTTTTGGTTAGGTTATAAGGGCCGGAATATCATGCACACTAATTTGTTAGATTTATAAACAACCAGGTAGCTGTGCTAACCTTGCATTTCGGTACTGACTCATATCTAAAGGCTCACCTCGCGTGTTGTTGGGGAGGCCCATGGATGATTAAGACTGTAATTCAGTTAACCGCCTCTCTTCTGTTGTGTTTTCGGCAGGTACTTTGTCAAATCCCTGACACCAGCATTTTTGGTCTGTGTGAGATCTTCTCTTTTTTGGAAGAATTATCTCCAGGAGAGAAAGGTGCACCAGATAGAGTGACTGAGCCAGGCTGTGGGTGCCGAACCCCTAGGTCTCCTCCCTCTCTTTCTTCTGCCTGGAATCTAGCATGCCTGAAGCAGCTGGACATGTTCCTAGAGTCCAGCACTTTATTTCTGTCACCTGGGGATGGTGGGGAGGAGCCACTCACCTCCCTGCATTGCAGCCTTTCTGGCCTTTGTCCAGCTGTCTTATGTCTTCAGCTGCTTTGGTCATGACGTCCTTGGACTCCATCTCCGAACAGACAGCTGCAGTTACCATAGCAACTGACCTGTGTGACTCACTGCCCTTTGGAGACTGACTCGGGATCCAGTTATGTGGTTGGGAACCCTGTGCAGTTAGACACCTTGCTCTGCACTTACAAAGACTGTACAGACTGGGATTCCTGGTGCCCCTGAAGAGTGCCAGTTTTGCTCGGCAGGGTGAAATGCACTCCTGTTGTCCTAGCTGTTCAGGAGGCTGAGAGTGAAGTATTGCTTGAGCCTTGGAGCTCAAGGCCAGCCTGGGGGACATAGTAAGAACTTATCACTTTACAACAACAAAAAAAAAGTTTGCCAATTTCCCGGATCTTTGCAGTATGGAGAATTGGACAGTGGCCTCTGAATTCCTGTGCAGTTTTCACATTTTAGGATTTTGTATCTATTAAATTCAAAAATCTTTTCATGTGTTGGGTCATCGTATTTTTGTGTACAGCTATTTGTCACCCCTCCCCAAGGATTTTATATATCTTTACCCACAGCTGTGTGACTTTTTGCAGTGCCCACTCCATGGGCATCTGCACGAGGACATCCCACATGGGGCGTGGACTTCCCTTCTCCCCAGGCAAAGGGATGTTAACAGGCATCGACCCCTCCACCCCCCAGTGTCCAGGCAGAAGCTTGCAGAGCCCTTGAGTGGAGGGGTCATATTGTGTCTCTGCCATGAGAACTCGTCTCCCATGTGGAAGCTGTTCCTTAGCCTGGGTGCCGGAATGTAAGGCAGGTATAACAACTAAAGCAGCTGGACTGCAGCCACTGTCACAGGAGAGAACAACATTTGCTGTACTAAGCCCGAGATTTGGGGGTTATTTGTTACCACAGCAAAGCTGCCTAATACATTATTAAACTAAAACCAGCTGCTGTCCTTCAGCTGGACTAGTTTGGGGTTCTGTGTTGTGTGCGTCACTGGTTTTGAAGGGAAGCTGGCTGTGGAATTCTTACCAAGAACTGTGCAGCTTTCTCTCCAGGTGCAGCTCCCTGCCTGTGGCTTGTGGCCGGTAAGCTGGAGTTCAGCCTCCTTCCTCAGCTTGGCTTTGGCTGCACTTGGGCCATTCTCTCTCACTCCCCAGCTAGAGCCTCCCCATCTCTCTTTCTCTTTATTTATTTTTTTTTGAGACAGTCTCAACATCTCTCTTTGTCTTTATTTATTTATTTTTTTGAGACAGTCTCAAGCTGTCACCCTGGGTAGAGTGCTGTGACATCACAGCTCACAGCAACCTCCAACTCCTGGGCTTAAGTGATTCTTTTGCCTCAGCTTCCCAAGTAGCTGGGTGGGACTACAAGCCCCGCCACAATGCCTGGCTATTTTTTTGTTGCAGTTGCATTGGTGTTTTTAGCTGGCCAGGACTGGGTTTGAACCCGCCACCTCAGTGTATGTGACCGGCACCCTGTTGACTGAGCTATGGGCGCCACCCCCATCTCTCTCTTTTTGTAAGAACTCAGAACATTGTGTGAGGGGACTAACGTTTGACTTGCAGAGTTCCCTGTGGCAGCCAACACCAGCCAGCTCACTCCCGGGGGCCGAGCAGGCTCCAGTGTGCCTTCTGACTCAGCCCTGACTGGAGAGCACATGCAGCCCCCTCTCCAGGTGCTGTGAGGCTGAGATGAGGTGCTGGGTGCAAGCGAGTTGTACATGAAAAGAACTGGGACATTCACTTAAGAAAGGTGTTCCCTGCCAACCATCCTCGGCACCTGGCAGGCCGAGAGTCTTACCAGGCCAAGTCATCAGCCTGCTTCTGTGTGGAGCCTCTGACACCTCATAGGCTTGTCCACGGCACTTCCGCACAGATATTGTAATACCGTATGCAAAGGACCCACTCCAGCACCTGGCATAAAGCTATTCAATAAATCACGCTTATTTTATCTTAATCATTTATTTATTTTTTGAGACAAGAGTCTCACTATGCCGCCCTCTGTAGAGTGCTGTGATATCATAGCTCACAGCCACCTCAAACTTTTGGACTTAAGTGATTCTCTTACCTCAGCCTCCCAAGTAGCTAGGATTACAGATGCCCGCCACAACCCCAGGCTATTTTTTTTTGTTGCAGTTTACATTGTTGTTTAGCTGGCCCAGGCTGGGTTCAAACCTGCCAGCCTTGGTGTATGTGGCCAATGTAACCACTGTGCTATGGGCGCCGAGCCAATCTTGCTTATTTTATACATATGCAGACTGGTAGCACCAGACCAGTAATTTTATCCCCAGGGCACATCACAGCTTGGTGGAGTACTGCTGGCACACAGTGCACAGGACAGCCCCTACAACAAAGTTGTCAGTTGAGGTTGAGGCATGCTGCATTAAACGAAAAGAAAAAATTCAGTTACCAGCCTGTGCAATTATTTTTACAGTAATAATCCTTAAAAGTACTTTCTCAGCCTTTCCCAGGTCTAATGGTAGGGGGTGCATAGGGGGCTCCATTGGCCTCTTGGTCATTAGGCCCTTAAGTCACCAGCACACAGAGATGGGAAAAGGAAAAGTCTGACCCTGCTGAGACATGACCCGGGGAAGCTGGATCCTGTTCCTGCCCTGACCCACTGTATGGGCCACACGGTGATCTTTCTCTCTGAGTGTCTGTCAGACGGAGAGGGGAAATGGAGAACTGGATGTTTGCCGTATTCTCTCTTGACACAGGAAACAGAACCTGCATGCTTCTGTCCAAACTTAGTGGGCAGTCCTTGCAGAAAGGCCAGAGAGAATGGGGCCTGGGACACAGGGCCCATGGCATGTCTGTAGCCTTTGTGGCTAGAAGCAGGCCCAGTGCTGCCCTCCCTCGGCCTCCATCTAAAAATTGGGAACCATATACTAGAAATTACTGCATCCTTGTAAGGGCTTATCATTCTTTTAAAACAGAATATAGCATAAGTCTTCACCAGAGACAAGTGCTGTAATCTACAGACAGAACGGTTCTTTTTTTTTTTTTTTTTTTGAAACAGAGCCTCAAGCTGTCCCCCTGGG